GATCTAAACATCTTACAGTGAGTACTCCACTATTTGTTCTTATACCCACATGTTCACAATTGTAGTGATGGTTGCTAAAAAATACATTTGAAATGTTCACAGGTAGTAGTGGTATTTATTTTTATCTTTTCTGTTAAGTAAGGTGACAGTCATATGTCTCTACAAGATATAGTGTGATATTTCAATATCTCCAATATGTAATGATTAAATTTGGGTATTTAATATTTCCTTATTATTTATTTATGTTTGGAGACTTTGAGAGCCTCTCTTTGATAGCTTTCCATCAGATAAATCATAGGTTACTGTAAACTATAGTCACCCACTGTTCTGTAGATCATTAGGGTTTGTTGCTGCTATCTAACTGTGTTTAGATTCTCATTACCCACCTCCCCCCATTCCACTCTCTGTATATCCCAGCTTCTGGTAATTACTGTTATTTTTGTCTACTTAGAAACTAGCATTTTAAACTTCTACAAGGAAAACTAGTGTGGTCTTGTCTTCTGTGTCTGGCTAACTTCATTTAACTGAATATCCTCCACTTGCATCCATTGTGCTCCAAATGACAAGGTTTCATTCTTTTTCTGTGGCTGAAGGATATATGTATACATATCACATCTTCTTTATTCATCCCCTGGTGGATGTCTGGATTAGGTTCCATACTTAGGTTATCCTAAGTAGTTCTGCAAGTAATGTAATGTTCAGGGATCTCTTTTATATGCTGATTTCATTTCTTTTGGAAATAGGCCCAGAGGTAGGAGAATGAATCATATTGTAGATATATTTAGAGTGTTGTGAGAAACCTCTGTGCTGTTCTCCATTGTGGCTATACTAATTTGCATTCCCATCAGCAGCAGTAAGAACTTCCTTTCCTTTACATCTTGACTAGCATTTGTTTTTTTTGTGTGTGATAATAACCATTCTGGCTAGTCTCAGATGATATCTCATTATGGCTTCCATGTGCATTTCACAAGTTTGAAGTGAGAATGTGGCAAAGATCTTGAACAGGACATGAAATTTTATATAAAGCCCAGAAGAAATCAAAGGGAAAGGACAGTGGAGGGAGGAACCAATCTTGGTAAGTATAGTAGATAACATTCTTTTTGTCTGAAGGCCAAGATATCTACCATGTCCCTATCCATACCAACCAAACTCTAATGAGCTTTTATACACTTACTGATGAACCTTGACTGTCATACATTAAAAGGCCAAACGAAAAGCTTCCTTTTTTATAAATGATCTCATAGACTTACATCTATGAAGAATGTACACAATAGAGGTTAAGTTTGCCAGCATAGAACAGAGCCAGATTATCTATATTTATTCCAGATCTACAAATTTTTGAACATGTGATCTTTGAAAAATATTCATTTTGTGTCAATTAAAAGTGGAGATGACAGTGTTTTAACTTATTGTACTGGTGTGAAGATTAAGTCAGCGGGTGAAAATGGCTCACTGTCTGGAACAAAGTAGTCCAACTTATTATTGTGTTTTCTTTATATGCCTGGGAACAAAGGCTAAAGTAATAATTATAATAACTCCAAAATATTTACTAGAGTATTTATGCTCTTTGATTTCTGGTGATCAAATGAAGAATTGAAGCAAGGCAAAGCACACTTAGTTTTTTTTTTCCTCTGGAAGTGTAGAGGGCCGAACCCAGCATGTCTCTGGATAGGAGTTGTGTTACTTCCTGAGTACATTGGATGCCCAGCACTGTGCTCTAAAGGCTGCATTTATATGATGCCAAAGAGGTAGGAGACAGAGAGGAATGTATGCAAGTTTGCCAGTAAGTTTGGGTGATCTAAGTGCCTTACTTTGAGGTACATAGACATATTTTAGCTGACATATTTAAAACTAATAAATTGTTTCACTCTGTGGGAAAATAGTTATCCTGACTTCAAACAAGTTTGTTGCACAGAACAATGGTCTGAAATATTCTCTCCCCTGTCCTGTAGGACTGACACTAGACAAGATGGAATTTTAATCCAATTTCATTCAGTGCTAAGACTGAGAATGAATTCAATTTTTGTTTAGCTCAATTAGCTGCCTTTACAAAACATGTGTCTGCAAACTATTCAAAGCTATTTTTTAAACAAGCCTGGAACTCAAGTCCACTAGTATTTATTGAAGGCCTACTATGTTCTAGGCACAGCTCTGCCTACAGGTGAGTAGAATGAAGACAAGACCCTTGGCAGACCTGTGGTCGTTGCTCAGGCTTCTTCAGCATCTAAATTCTCTTTGTTTGGCTCTTCCAAGACTCCAGACATTATTCTCAAGTTTTTCTCCTCCTCTGTTGTACCATCCCCCAAGGCCCTTCCTTTATCTACCACATCTCCTCTTCCAGTTCTCTCAGATAAAGTACCTCAAACATTAAGTCACTGTTTTCAAAAGCTCAGATTTATGGGCAGCTAGAATTACAATTTTTCCCCAAAATGCAGACATCAGTGTCTTCAAAGGAATTGTTTTCTAATCTTAAATCCTGATCAGCTTTTCTTAAAATTAACCTGCTTGCGAAAGTGTTCTTTTCATTCCCACCTCCCCTCCCAAAGCTCTCCCTCCCTCTTTGCAGGGAAAGGCACAACTAAATCCCCTTGTGCAGTTCCCCAGAATACCAATAAACTGCCAGGACCTGTGTCTAAGAAGGGCAGGTGACTAAGTACAAACACAGTTGCAAGGCAGTAGTTCCCCACCTTCCCTTTACATCATGGAAATGCCTAATCAACACAGTCAGCTAATCGATTAGTAAAAATAATTTTGGTGATAGATGACTGTGTGAGGTCTGCAAACAACTAATAAAATGTTGAAAAGATTGTTATTGTGACAACAAAACAATTTTTATTCCTCAAACTGGCCTACCATACCACCATCACATATCTTGCGAACTAGTTTCTTCAATGCATATATCTCCAAAATGAAAACTAAAAATGAAATTGATGCTGAAATCTTTCTCATTTGGGGCAATATGTAGTCATGGATGCACATGAGAATAAAACTCCATGTTATTAGGTGATGACTCTCCAATAAATTTTAATATCATATCCAATTTACTTTTTTGCAAAATTTGTCATACATCTAAATGATTTGGGGTAAATATATGCTAAGGATATACTATACAGAGGAAAATATTTTAGAAAACACTCTATTCTAAAGAATACAGAAACAAAAACATGTACATGAATGCAGAGAAACCCTTAAAAACATGCACTTATAAAAATTACACTATATAATACCATACATTGTGTCTTCAGTGAGCTAAATGGTATAAAAATTCACATTCTAAAAGACACTCATCTACATAATTTTAAGCAAGAATTAATAGATATGGTATCGATATTTATATTCTATTAAGCATATAAAACAATGACACAGTTGTTTCATTTAAAAGATCAATACTCCCAATGCAGTGGAATTAGTCTCCCTTAACTACTTAAATGTCTGATTAAAAATAGTTACTAAGCTGATAGTTTTGTGAAATCTCTTTAAGAAAAAAATAAGACAAGGACTTAAGTCTCACACATAATGGAAACAGAAATGCTTAATGGTATTCATTGTGATCCTATCTCAAGTCAGTCTTGCAATTTCTCCAGTAATGCTGTGGAGAAAGTCTGCTGACTAATAATATTGATGGAAGACTGGAAAAGCAAAGTGTAATGGCTAAGGAGAATATGACTGCTTCCCCTGCTTTGAACATTTGTTAAGTTCCTGTGGCTGCTATAAATTACCACAAATTGGGTGGCTTAAAACAATGCAGATTTACTCTCACAATTGTGCATGCTGAAAATCTGGAATCAGTGTCCCTTGACTGAATTCAAAGTGCTAGGAGGGGTCAAACCCTCTCTGGGAGTTCTCAGGGTGAATTCCTTCATTATGTCTTCCGTTTTCTACTCATAGATAGTATTCGATTTTGTGACTGAATCATTCCAGTCTTCAGAGCCAGCAACATCTTTCCAGCTCTCTTTGCTTGGTCCTCAAATTCCTTTTCCCCTGTGCCTTTTGCCAATTTCTTTCTAGCAACCTTTTTTAAGGACTTCATGATTGCATTTAAAAGAAGCCACCTCCTTAAACTAGTATAATCTCCTCATCAAAAAGTTCTCAATTTGATCATAATTGCAAAGTCTTTACAAAGTCTGTAATATTCATGGATTCCAGGAATTAGAGTTAGCACACCTTTTGTTTCTGGAGACTGAGTCTCATGCACTATATTGCCCAGATAGAGGCTCTGAGCTAAGAGCCTCAAACTCCGGCCTCAGCCTCCTGAGTAGCTGAGTTTACAGGTGGCACCATTTGCCTGGAATGCTGAAATTTTTACATCTATCACACCAGCTGAAAATGAGACACTCTGACTCTGGTACCAGGAAAAAAAGAAAGAAAGAAAAAGTTCAAAAACACGTGTTAAATGAGCAGAGAAATCTGTCCTCTCTGGAGAAGTTTCCTTTGCTCCTCCATAGTGACTGAATGGCTCCTTTAATTGTGAATGAACAGATTTCAAACCAACCTTCTTCCTGAGGTGTTGTCTTGCACTAGAGCTCAAGCAATCTCTTTAAGCTACTAGTTCTTTTAATCCATTTCCCTGAGGGTCCAGCTCGCTGTTATTACTCCTTTAATGATTTCATTTATTCATCCAGTATTAAGTAAAAGTATTACAAGGCTTAGGAGTTTGTGGTGCTACTGAAGGAAGACACCATAGATTTAAAAATAAAAAACAACAATAATAAAAGCATCGAAATACTAAGTCTGGAAATGAAATCACTCGGTAAGTGTTTGTCAACTATCCACTTTAGTTATGGCTTGTTAGATATTGAGTACAATCTTCCCTGGAAATGGGAAATAAGACAGTATGGTGAGGGGAAAAATGATATAATAACGATTGAAAATACAATGCACCATTGAATATCTTCAGAAGTTATCATCTGTAGGTGAATGTTAGTGGTTAGGTCCAACTGCTTTTCAACCTTCTTTTTTTTTCTTCCGGTTGCTTTTTCAGGCATTCAGGACAAGAGACGATGAGAAATGTGACTGGGAATCGTGTGGATGAGTTCATCTTGGTGGGCTTCGCTACCTCAGCATCCCTCCAGCTGCTCCTTTTTGTCTTCTTTCTTGTGATTTATCTGTTGACGTTGTTGGAGAATGTGCTCATCATCTCCACAATCTGCTTCACTTCAAGCCTTCATCGCCCCATGTATTTCTTCCTTGGCCATCTTTCCTTCCTGGAGCTCTGGTATATCAGTGTGACCATTCCCCGGCTCTTGGGAGCCTTTCTTACCCAGGATGGTAGAATCTCCTTTGTAGGATGTATGGCCCAACTCTACTTCTTCATTGCCTTAGCCTGCACCGAATGCGTCCTGCTGGCAATGATGGCCTATGACCGCTACCTGGCTATCTGTGAACCCCTCCGTTACCCTACGCTCATGCCTTCTAGCCTGGCTACCCGCCTTGCTGCCGCCTCTTGGGGCAGTGGTTTCTTCAGTTCCATGATGAAGCTTCTTTTTATTTCCCGATTGTCCTACTGTGGCCCCAACATCATCAACCACTTTTTTTGTGATATTTCCCCACTACTCAACCTCACCTGCTCTGACAAGGAGCAGGCAGAGCTAGTGGACTTCCTCCTGGCTCTGGTGATGATTCTACTCCCTCTAGTGGCTGTGGTTTTATCATACGCTGCCATCATTGCAGCCATCCTGAAGATCCCTACCGCCCAGGGACGCCATAAAGCCTTTTCCACCTGTACTTCTCACCTAACAGTGGTTGTTATCTATTATTCCTCCACTCTCTTTACCTATGTGCGGCCCCGGGCCATGTACACCTTCAACCACAACAAAATAATTTCTGTGCTCTACACGGTCATTGTACCATTCCTCAACCCAGCCATATATTGCCTGAGAAACAAGGAGGTGAAGGATGCTTTCAGGAAGACATTGTTGGGAAGGTGCCACTACCCTAGAGATGTTCCAGACTGATGTACAACAGGTCCTAAAAGGGAGATAATAATAGTCTTGATAGGGCTTCATCCGGGAATCACAGAACAAGCTTACATGGAACCTCAATGATCATTGAAGTTCTCTACATGTTCTCTGGGTACCTCCTGATATAAATGAAAGCTTATGAATTGTTGATTCACAAGCAGGGATTTCCAAGCTAAGATTAGACTACATATGAATCTCTTGGGAAATTGTTAAGATTGAAATTACACCAGGTGCCATGCCTGTAATCCTAGCTACTCAAGAGGCTGAGATCTCTAAATCATCAAAGTTTGAAGCCAAAGTTTAAAGTCCATGGAACTTCATCAATTGGCAAAAAAAGCCAAGCTGGAGGAGTGGCTTAAATAGTAGACCACCAGCCATGAGCAAGCAAATGAAGCAAGTTCAAGACCTCTGAGTTTTATTTCTGGTACCAGAAATAAAAAAGCAAGATTCCCAAAAAAATATATGGTGAATCTGAGATGTAGTCATGCTACAAATAACCCTTAAGACTTTAGGAACTCTAGTTTCACTGACAGTTTTGAGGTTCTCTGCTTTAAGCTAATCATATTAATTTATAAGTGAGAAAATGCTACTGTAGGAGTACAGGCTTATTGATCTATATGTCAAGACAAAATGATTCTGCAATTTCAAAGATTCATATTCTCAAATGTCACTTTCACAAGAAACTGCAAAAGTATATATTATCCTCCAGGAATAAATTTAATATTATCTAATAAATAGATGACATAAAATTTGCTTCTTCAGCTATCCTATCTACAAAAGTTGCAATGGAGAATTCTTGGTACTCAGTCAGATAAACACCAACAGATACTGCTAAATGACCAATTCATCTCTCCTTATTGAATAGAAAGCTGATTGGCTTAATGGATGAAGACCATTTAGTAGTAGTCATCAGTGTGTTAGGAAACTTTTATACAGAATCTTCACCTGCACGATAAACAGCTTCCATTTCAAGTAGTTAGTACTGGGTCATACCATTTGCCAAATATTTGAAAATTTTCCCTGGGCAAAGGATCGGAAAAGACTTTAATGAGAGAGAAGATGAAGGACCAAGAGATAAGAAGAGACCTCTGGAGTGAGTAGGATGCCTTAGATTTGTCCCCTAAGTAGCATACATTCTACTAGATACCTTTGAGTGTTGGAAAGTTGCTTGAGGTTCTCAGATCTTTCTTTTCATATCCAGACTCTAGTCCCACTTACCCAAACTTCTGCACAGAGAACCAATTTCAGTAGTTATGATTTAGATTCAGAACATATGAAAAATTGAAATAAATATTAAATTGAACAAATCAGAATAAATACAGATAAAAGTCACAATAAAATCAGTGTATCTTTGCTTTTGCTAAGCCAGGCTGGGAAGGGATGAGGAGTTGGGAAGAATGGCCGGCCATAAAGGAAAATCTACTTGACCAAGAATCATTTTGGGTTTTCCAATACTTCAAATGGAATTACCAAAAAGGTCTGATACTAAATTAATACATGTGGCTCTGTTTCTTTCTCCCATTTTGGAAGTCTTGGGGTCTGAAATCAAGGTCTAGTGCTTGATAGGCAGATATCCCACTACTTGAGCTACACTCTCCATCCCTGATCTTTAGGTTGGCTCTTATCTTTATAACAATTTCTAGATAATCTTAGCAACTTCTCTGAGTATGGTTCAGGCTATATTACATTCTCTTCTTCTTTCGTAGAGTTATGGAAGGCATATGTGTGTGATTTAGAGTTCAGACTCCAAAACTAACAAGTTTTGGGTTGATCTTGGTGGCACCACTAACTATATGATCATCTCCATTTACATCTCTGTTCTTTATTTTCCCTCTTATAATTAAAATAATATCATTTAGCTCATATGAATGTTGTTAATATTGTATAAATAACATGTGTGAGCAAAGAATTAACAAACTCTCAATGGATAAATTTGAACTAGGGTTGACATTCTAGTTTAATCTCTTGAAAAACCTGATGAATGTTGTAGATAACACCTCTGATTGGTAAACATCCTTTTTCTAGGAAGATAATTATTTTAACTGCTCACTGAGAAATTGTAACCTCAACTACTTTGTTAACTTGGTTTATCTTTCTTAGAAACTCTGGATGCACGTGAAATTGTTACGAGACATTGGTTCTTATGGGTTTAAAGGTTCCAAATCAGGGAAGACACTTAACTCTTTTATGTAAATCTTGTGTTCTCATACATAAGCTATGATTTTTTTGGTTAGTTGTGGTGTTTGAACTCAGGGCCTGGGCATTGTTCCTGAGCTCTTTCACTCAAGGCTAGCACTCTACCACTTTGAATGACCATTTCACTTTTGGTTTTTGAGTGTTTAATTGGAAATAAGAGTCTCCCAGGGACTTTTCTGCCCAGACTGGCTTTGAACCATGGTCTTCAGATCTCAGCCCCTTGAATAGCTAGGATTAAAGGCATGATCCACTGGTGCACAGATCAGTTATGATTATGAATGACAATTTTTCCCACTTGCCTTTTACAAGACTCCCTACTCATAAGACAAACTTCTCAATGTCCTGCTGAGATGGTGTATCTTCTATCCTGTTTCCTGAAGCTACTTTGATGCCAAGCATGACCTTTGCCTTCAGTATATAACACAGCTCACAGTAAGCAGTTCACTGAATGTTAAGCTTCATCCTCATCTTCATTTTCTAATGAATATCATTATATTCTTCTAACAGATATGCCTGTTCGAGTAACCATGTGTCAGCCTCATTCTTAAACTAAGATTGAAGGTTTCATATTATCATGTTAGGTTTAATTTTTAAATGGCATTGGTTTAATTTTTGTCATTCTTTCAGAATTATTCATAGTATGTCTAGCTTTAGGTTGTCAATTTTTAACCATATTTAATGGAATATGTTTTTAGAGAAATATCATGCCCTTTCCAAATCTCATGTTTTGTCATTCTGCAAAATGTGATATTTGCCATCTCTGTGCAGTTGTAATTCACAAGGATAGCCAGATAAAGGCGAGTTAATTCTCTCAGACAACATATATCTAATTCCAGTAGCTGTCTCTGGGTTTGTCTAATTTTATTTTAGCTGTGCTTCCCTTTCTTTTTATTTTATGTAATTTCATTTTGTTTTGGTATGTGTACCCTGTGCATGCCGCTTTTCTCAAGATAGAATTAACATGGGAAACACTAGCATGTAATCAAGTTAATTATGATTTTAAAAATAAAAGCAATGTCTTTTAACATAATGGCACTATGTAGCATAATTAAGAATGTTCCTGTATTTAAAATAAATGTCAACCATGATGGTGAATACCTCCAGTCCCAACACTCTGGAGGCAAAAGATTGAGAATCCAGAGTTGGAGACCAGCCTGAGAGAGAGAGAGAGAGAGACTTTATCTGAAGTATTCTTCCCCCTCTGTACTCTCCTAAGAAAAGAAATCATAATTATGTGATTTTTATTGAGGAGATATTTTATTAAAAAGCCTAGGCATGGTTACCTGACTGAACATTCTTTCTTCTTAAAAAAGAAAATAGTATACAATATTCAGAAAGAATTATGAAATTTTAGAACAAAAGAAAAAATGAAGAGATTTTACTTTTTTATTTAACAATTACTCTATCTGCTATGGGTTAGTGGCTTATGCCTATAATCCTAGCTACTCAAGAGGCTGAGATATGAGGATCATGGTTTGAAGACAGCCCAGACAGGAAAGTCCCTGAGACTCTAATTTACAATTTAACCACCCAAAACCCCCAAAGTGGAGCTATGACTCAAGTGGTGGAGTGCTAGCCTTGAAGAGGAAAAAATCTCAGAGATAGTGCCAAGGCCCTGAATTCAAGCCTCAGAACTGGCAAATAAAAGTACATTGAGATTCTATCATGCCAGTCTGAATGTCTACCACCAAGAAAACAACAAAGTCTGGGAAGGATGTAGGAAATAGGAATTCTTTTTTTCTGGCTATGGGAATATAAAATATCCCAGCTACTGTGGACTCTAATTGTATGGAGGTTCCTCAAAAAATTTTAAAATAGAATTTGCATATTATCAACTCTACCACTCTTATACATACCCAAAAGAATCAAAGTCAGCTTAGCACAGGAATAGTTACATACCATATTTATTACAGCACTATTCATATTAACCAAAATATGGGATCAGCCATCAGTGGATGAATGGATAAAGAAAATATAGGACATAGGTATACAGTGAAGTTTGACTCAACCATACAGAATGAAATTATGTGGACAATGGGTGCAATTAGGGATTATCATTTTAGGTGAAATAAATCAGCCACCCCAAAACAAGTATCACATGCTCTGTCTTATAAGTGGAATCTCAGGGCGGGGAAAGAAGGGCATGGAAGATAAAGAGAGACTACTAGGGGTGTAATAGAAGAGAAAGGGAAAAGAGAGGAGAAACGGGAGCAAGAAGAGTAATAGGATACATAGGAACAAAAGCATACATGTGGAAAAAGTCATGAAGAGAGTCATGATGACACAATTTATGCACTAATAAAGAAAAATATAGAAGTCCCATACCATAAGTACCATCTTTAGTTAAAATGAAGACTAGAATGATAACGAAACATACTTGGTGGAAAAGCCAGTTACCACAAGCTGCTTAATCAGAAATGGTTCCATTATTTTAATTAAAGTATGTCAGAAATGTTTAAAATACTGAGAACTCTTCTTTTTTGGGGGGGTCCGGTTGTGGGGCCTGAACTCTGGGCCTGGATGCTGTCCCTCACTCTTCAGCTCAAGGCTAGCACTCTACCATTTGAGCCACAGCGCCACTTCCGGCTTTTTTTTTTTTCTGCTTATGTGGTGCTGAGGAATCGAACCCAGGGCCTCAAGCATGCAAGGCAAGTGCTCTACCACTGAGCCATCTTCCCAGCCCTGAGAACTCTTATGTGCATCAGCAAGTATATTTCTCAGGAAATTAGAAATTAAACTTTTCTGATTATTCAATAGCTATGTACATATGACCATATAAGATGACGTTAAGTGAAATGAAGTCCAAGACATAGACACAACAAGTTTCTCTTTGTTGTTGTTATTTTAAGGTACTGTTATTTTTTTGTTTCTTTTGTTTCCCTCTATGGTATATCCCCTGTTGTCACTGTGTTTGATTTTGGGACCCTGGTATTGTGCATATGTTTATTTGAATTAGGGAAGGGAAGGGGAACAACAGAATGGTAAGACAAAGAACCAATGCAACAGTGATATACATAAGGTGATATGTTGGAAAGGATCTGTACAACTTTGGGGGTGGGGGTGGGGGGAGGAACGGATGAGAAAAATGAGGGAAGGGGTAAGAAGTGTAACAAGAAATGTACCTATTACCTTACTTACGAAACTGTGACCCCTCTGTATATCACTTTGGCAGCAAAAAAGAAAAAAACTTTTCTGAATACCTTCTATTTTACTAGACAACCTACAAGTAATCACAAGTAAAAGTTTTCACTTATGTAGCAAGTAAACACCTTTACATACACAGGTTGGCACACCATAACACATAACCCAAGATAATCAAATTCCACTTCTCCAATTAATAAAAATACTGCTTCAGGTCATGTAAGTAGATGACTGGACCAGGATCCAAAGCTAGGAACTATAGCTCCCCAACTTTTGGTTTGGTGTTAGTATCTTTTAAAGATGGAAAGCATAATACTTAGAAAAGTTGGTGGGTAAGTGGTATATTCATCACAGTGTTAGATGAGAAGCTATTTAGCTCAATGTTTTTCCAACTTGAAAGCAGCAAACTCTTTTGCATGACATGATATTTAACTGCATGTATCGCTATTTCCTTCTCTATATTAGGAGTCTGGATTAAACCTATAGAGTGTTAACCCTCTCTCCCCTTCACTGAGTCTGTTCAGGAAGTCAGAACCATATACCAGTAGTACGACTAAGGTTCTCCTTTGTGCCTTAAGGTCCCATTTCACCCACTTACTTTTCCCCTATCCTCCCAGGATACCCACAAGTCCTAGAAAAGCTGAAGGCTATATATCTTCAAAGGTCCCCTGTGGGCGGGAAGGAGTTGGCTTGTGCTCCTCCAGTCACTTGGAGGGAGACAGAAGAAGCACAAATAGCTCTGTTTGGTGTCTTCCTCAAGCTTAGCAGAGACATGTACCAGACCTGTCCAGCAACTCTGTAGGCTGAGACCCATTGTCATCTCCACTGTTATGACTTCCTCTCTTCAGGACAAGCTGGATCTCTACAACAAGGCTAGGAATGGAGTTGTAGCTCTGAAAAAAATGGTGAGTTGAGGGACAAAAAGAACCTTCAGATATTTACAAAAGAATAATTCATCCTGCTTTAAACTGCCATCTTGAAGCAGAGAATAATTAGAAGTCATTTTTACTGGCATTATTCCTCAGGATTTGTGTTTCACAGATTTTAGAAAATGCTTTGTCTTTGTTTAGCCTGTGGTAAGAAATAGTACAACAAAGTATATATGAAGAGAGGGAACTTAGCGCATAGAAAAATGATTTTAATTCAATAGAACTTTTTTCAGCACATGAAAGTGTGAGAGATCCCTAGGTGTTACCTGGCTTGTTAAGATTCTACCATGAGAGCAAACTCTAGATACATAGACCCATGACTCTGAGAACTGCCTAGTGGTTCATTCACCTAAAGATGACTCTTGACCTTGCAAAGTACAGAATCCAAGGCTATTCTGGTTGTTGTTGCTGTTGTTTTTTCAGTCATGGGGCTTGAACTCTGGGTCTGGGCACTGTCCCTGAGCTCTTCAACTCCAGGCAAGCACTCTACCACTTGAGCCACAGCACCACTTCTCCAAGGCTATTCTGATGAAGGCTACAAAAAGAACGTGGAGGCAAAAACAGATAGAATGTATGACAGAAAATGCTGCAGAGTGTGGGTCTGTGAGGATGTGTGCCAGGTTTGTGTCAAATATGGACCATAGCTGGCAAACGGGTTGTTGGTTGTAAACGTTTTGATGGTTTATGACTCCTAAAAAGATAAAAGACAAGTTCATAACTATTCATAATACCAAAGAGAGAGAAGGAAAGATCTTTTTTCCCATTGTATTGATTATTTAATGCACTATGTGATCCCATTTATCCTCAACTAGAAATCCTGAGAAACACTGCATAATAATGCTCAAAAGAAAACTATGTCATTTTGCCTTTGATGGAAAGAAAAATATTTCAAACATTTGCTATGGTTTGAGAAACTATGAATGGTATAGAGAAATGGGGGGTATTGAATATAGATCTTTTTGCCCTATAGTTTTTAAATCCAGGTAACAGTAGAAACTGAGGTATAGAGAAGTTTACTGCATGAAGCTAGTTATTCTATCCAGACACCAACTTAGGGTTCGTTGTGGATACAGCCCTGAAACATAGCTGTTCCTATGAGACCGATGAAATCTAAAAAGACTAGGTTGAGTACAAATCATTATTCGGTCACGTTTCACATGACCTGTGACTGACTTTGCAGACCAAAGATTGCCTAGAGCATGTTCCACACACCTGACCTGACAATTTTATAAACACCTCCGTTGTCAGGAGCACTTGGACTGCATAATGATGTTTCCTTTCCTCTCTTTTCCCTACAAATATAAAAAAGCAGATCCTTCCACAGACCTGCCATTGTCCTCGCCTCTCCACTAATGAGCTGTGAGGAAGCCCATCTCCACCCTCCTGGGAAATCAGAGGGAAAGACTCTCGGTTTTTTTTTCCATGGAAGGCTCAGGGCGGGATGCTATTCCTTTTCTGTGTTTTCAGAAAAATAAATCAAGCTTTACATCCTGCATGTGTTTATCATAGCATTCTGATTTTGTTCCTCATGAAATGTTCCCGTTAAACTTAGATCACGTAAGAATTACCCCACTCATACAACATATCGAACTGAGAGGCTTCAAAGAAATGACCTGATAAGGTAGGAGGTGATAGGGAAAGTGGAGGACGAGTCGACCCCATCACTGACTTCAAACACTGCAAGCTGGGATCTTCTGAGAACTCAGTGGGACTTCACACAATACTTGAAAACAGCACATGAACTCAAAGATGTGGAAGCACTGGATTTCCCAAGAGGAAGCTTCCTAAACGGAGGTTTATTTTTGTAAGGTTTATATTCACAGATACTTAGTTTTCTGTCCCTACAAAGAATCAGACAAAGATTAAGTAAATGCTTCAGTCTATGTGTTGGACACTGACAAATCCATAGGAGATTTAAGTCTTATGACCTGTCAGGTTCCCTGCCCTGCAGCTCCAAGACACTCTGTGTGTGTATGATGTGTGTGTGTGGGGGGGGGGGTGTGGTGTGTGTGTGTGTGTGTGTGTGTGTGTGTGTGTGTGTGTGTGTGTGTGTGTGTAAGACCTTTCATTCAGCTCTTTTGCTCATAGCTAGTACTCTGCTATTTGACCGATACTTCCAGTCAAGGTTTGTGTTGGTTGTTTTGAGATTGAGTCACACAGACTTCTCTATCTGGGCTGGCATCAAACCATGATTCTCCATAGTTCAGCCCCTTAAGTAGGCATGAGCCACCAGAAGAAAACCCTTTACTATTTTTAAGTGATGTGTGTATATGTGGGTGTGCATGTGTGTGTGTATGTGTGTGTGTGTGTAATTTGTAATTATACTATCAGATGTACTATCAATTGTGAAAGTCAATGAATTACATCTTTTTAAAGAAAAACTATAATGTAAGGATCGCATTAATAATTCTGTTGAAATAAAGCTCCAAATTAAGGTGATTTACCTTTTCTTTTGTGCTGGTGCTGAGACCTAAACTCAGGGCCTAGGTGCTATTCCTGAGCTTTCTTGCTCAAAGCTGGCACTCTACCACTTGAACCACAGATCTACTTCCAGATATTAACTTGGAGATAAGTCTCATGGACTATCCTGCCTGGGCTGGCTTTGAACCACAATCCTCAAATCGCAGCTTCTGAGTATTTAGGATTGCAGGCGTGCGCAACCAATGCCTGACTGATTTGTACTTCTTAAGCTAACATGAATTAGGATATAGAGGGAATTAACTTGAATTCTGTGCAAAAATAGAGATTAAAACTTGCAAGAAACTAATATGACTACTCTGTCAATATAGATATTTAATGTGGGGGAAATCACTTCATCATTCTAGGATTCTTTTATCTAGCTATAAAAGAAGCTTAAATTAAGATACCATTGATTTTGTAACACTATTTTAAGTTACAGTTTCTTTTATTTAGTGAATAAAGTGATTTTACTATTAAATTTCCACACATACAAACAATGCACTTTGACCATATCCATCCAATATATTCCTCCTACATTCCCACCCTCCACACATTTTTTAAGATACTTTTTAAATTGTTTTCCCTTTGTATTTTCATACACGTGTGGAATGATATTGTGGTCCTGGAATCTTTCTCAGAATCTTGACTCCCATTTTTGGTACTTTAATCCTTCACTCCTTAGAGCTTTCACTTTCATTCAGAGTACCGCTTAAACCATTTTCTAAGGTACAATTTAAGGCTCAGATTTTTAAAATTTATATTTAACTCATAGATCATCCTCTTTTGTCTCCTAGGTGAAAAGCAGTAAGTTTGACTAGAGTATTCTATGTTAATTCTATTGTGCAATGGACGGTGTGGCCTTCGGATAAATAATAAATATTAAATACCCCTGGGTCAATCGGGCACCCTGATATTTGTCTTATCTGAATCCCTGGTTGTGGAGGTCAGCTGTAATAACCAGGTGAGGCGCAGATGTGCTTTCCTGGCGTCTGTCATGGAAGGTACAGACAGACATTCATTCCTCACAGGCTCCGCAGGACCTAGGTCCTAAGCATGTCCACAGGAGGGAAGGCTGTTGCCTGTTAGAGGCTCATTTTATTTTCTTCCTCACACACCTGACAGATGGGCTGTCCCAACAGTCTTGAGTACTCCTAGGACATGACTCAGACGATCGAACCCTGGAGATTATGAACTTACACACCCCCTTACTATATCCACATGACCAGTGACTCTTAGTAGCTTATTTATCCATGTCCCCATGTATCAAAACACAGAAATGATATGCATATGATTATATGAACATGATGTGCATGTACTTAACTAGATAACTTAGAGAAATAAAAAAGTGATCTGCCTCACTTCTTTGTCTGTTTTACTTGACTACGAAAAGTCTCAAAACTAAATTCCTTGTGCAAATGATAAAAATATTAGGTGAGATGACTCAGTCTAATATTCTATGGTTCCTTTTTCTTTTTGTCCCCTTAGTTTTGTGCTAAAACACCTGTGATCTGTATCCGCATTCATTCCTACATCTGTTAGATGAGAGGAAAGGATTAATGATTGCATAGTTTCACTGAAAATATTCCCAGTTTATTTGCTAATTATAACTCTGAAAATTAAACAGAATGCTTTTTTTTTAATCAATCATGATTTTGAAGCATGTACTTTGAGAATGACTTTCAGTTTGGGTGCTGAAAACAATATTGCACTATTTCCTAGAGTCATTCTTAGATCTGTAGCTTCACGCTAGAGTTCTTTGAGGAGCCCCTGGAGATGGCTCCAGGAAGAGGAAACATTAAAGTATAATCCTGTACCTCAATAAATCGTAAAAATACATTCAGGCACTGAGTCCAAGAATACAGATCTCAAGATTGTATCCTATTTCCGTGCCTCTGAAATATTTAGTGCCATGTCTTTCCTCAGAGGAGAGAGATATGTTAATCTGTTTGTGAAAGATACAGTAAAAAGAGAACCAGAATGGAGACTGGGCTAAAATAGCTAAAAACAGACTTCAAAGATGGGTACCTATAACCCACACCTGTAATCTTAGCTACTAAGGAGGTTGAGACTTGAGGATCAGGGTTCAAAGCCAGCTCTGGCAGAAAAGTCCATGAGACTTTTCCAATTAACTGCCAAAAAGCCAGAAGAAGTAGAGCTATGGCTGAAGTGGTAAAGCTCCAGCTTTGAGTAAGAAAGTTTAAGGATAGTGCCCTAGCTCTGAGTTAAGCACCAAAAACAAACCAAAAAAAGACAGATTGTAGGGACTCAAATTCAGAAATTAAAATGAATCAGAATAAAAAGAAAAAGAAAAAGAAGGAAGATTGATAAACCTTGCCTTGGTTGGATTTTCTACTGCCCTACTTTTTCATTAGTGAATATTAGGCTGTGGTGATTAAGATTAAGGTGTGTGTGTGTGTGTGTGTGTGTGTGTGTGTGTGTGTGTGTGTGTGTGTGTGTGTAAAACTATATTTCAACAGAAAACAATTGTTAAATTTGCTATGTTTTAATTTTTCCCTCGCTTGTTTATCTGTGTCTGTTCTCTTCTCTAATCATAGATCATGAGGAAGTGATTATGGTAGCTTTCTCTAGAATTCTAAGGCTAAGATCCAAGTGTGGAAAGGAGAGCAGAAAGTTTTCAGTTTTTTCATCTTTTCACCATTTTCTTTTAAAATAAGAAAAAAAATTAGCCATTCCCTGGTCCTCTGATTGGATTACATATTCCTGCCCCAGAAATCAGACCATCGAGAAGTGGAAAATGAGAATGACTTTAGCTCTGGGGAAGAGCAGAGGAGAAATCATGCAGTAAGACATAGAGAAGGACTGGCAGTTTAATGGCTAGGACATTCTAGAATGACTTTCAGCAAACCCCTGAAAGAGGCCACATATTTTGGTGAATTATTGGGCATGATTGCAGAAGAGTAGCAGGAAGGATTTTTGCCTTTTCCTGGTATTGCTTTCACCTGAATTATGAGTTCTTTAATCTAACACTCTTGGAAAAGTCTGACAGTCACTTGCTCCTTTTCTTGTTAATAACCAGTCTGCATCATTTTTTATTCTGCTGTTTGGGGCTGTGGCTGTCCCTGCGCACTGTGGAAGGGAGAGTGTATATTCTTTTGAGGGAGGAGGTACAAAGTGGGGACAAGGAGAATGGCTTTGAAAGGTAGCAAATACCTAGAGGAGCTTAATTTAAATTCTAAAGCCCATTTGATGTTTACAATATGTGAATGCGGCTCATCCATCTTCATCTTAGAAACAGAGTAACTCGTATTGCAGACAGTGACGCAATAGAGAAGCACGCTTTAATTAAACTTTTTAAAGCTTTTATTTTTATTATCTTTATGTAGCTGTACAATGTAGTTAACACTCAACAAATCCATTTATAAATATATCTGTATCAATGTTACTACTTTCACCATTCCTTCCCATTCCTTCCAACCCATCCCTTCCCCTGTTTGCCTAGTTTCATAAGATAGGCACTGAATATTATGATTGTACTCTCTCCCTATTCCTCTCTTCATTCATTTACCCACTTCCCTTAACCTCTTCCTCACACATCATTCAAGTGCTTGTTTCCTGCTATCTAATTCATTGGACTGTGAATGTTTAAATTCTCCTCTACAAATGCCTTACTTTGGTTAATACATTTGAGTACACTTGCATACAACCCTGTATGTGTTCATTTGTGCAGTTATAAATTAGTTCTAGCTGCCTTATCTGAGAGATAACGTGTGTCCTTTGTCTCTCTATGCCTGACTTCATCTAACATAATTTTCTAGATCTATTTCTTTGCAAATGATGTAATAATCTTTCTAATGAATGAATAAAATTCCATTGTGTATATATACCACATTTTTTTGATCCATACTTCCATTGAGAGGCATCTGGGCTGGTTCCATACCTTGGCTCTAGGGAATAGTGATCCAGTGAAGATGACTGTGAATGTAGCTTTACAGTATCCTTCTTGGACATTCATCCAAAAGATATTTTAAAGCATTTCATGAAGCAATCTGTACAGAGCATTGAGCCAAAGGAAATTCTTCAAATTATTCAGTCAGTTTCATTCTCTGAGAAGCTGTTGAGTATTTGTATCATACATGTTTTGTGTTCATCTTGTAGGTGTGTTCAATAATTGCCTCACTCAACCTTTATAACCCTTTCAGATAAAAACAGATAAATGAATTTTCTCTATGTTATAAATGTGTGTGGCCTCACAGCAACTCCAGAATCACAAAAGTTACATCTAGAAGATGACAAATTGGGTCTCCTGTCATCTTTTTGCATCTAATACAGGAGGATTTCTTGTCAGCAACGGAGAGGGAGGAGAGAGGGAGCAATCTTAAACCCCACGATAGTAAATTAATTCAGCAGAAAACTGAGGAATCAAGAGATCTTAATTTCTCCACTGTGTGACTTTGAACAAGTTACTTGTCTTGAACTAATTTTTTAATAAAAATATAATTTCTCTGAAGTTCATCTTGGCTCAAATGTCTTGGTTCTCATGATGCAAGAGGAGGGGGAAAAGTAAAGGTAGAAAGGCAGAAAGGCACCTCTGATGATGAATTGTGGGTGTCAGGCTTTCAATATATTCACCCCTAGTCTAGTACTGGGAACATGGAAGGAACTCACTCTGTCTGTGCCCACAGCCAGCCGTCATCCCCAAGGCTCTGGAGGTCGGTAACCTCACCTCAACGACACATTTCATTCTGCTGGGATTTCCAACAAGACCAGCCTTCCAGTTCCTCCTCTTCTCTGTGTTCCTGGCAACCTACCTGCTGACCCTGCTGGAGAACCTTCTCATCATCCTGGCCATCCGCAGCGACGGGCAGCTGCACAAGCCCATGTACTTCTTCCTGAGCCATCTCTCCTTCCTGGAGATGTGGTATGTCACCGTCATCAGTCCCAAGATGCTGGCAGACTTCCTCCGCCAGGACAAGAGCATCTCCTTCTGCGGCTGCATGACTCAGCTGTACTTCTTCGTGACCTTCGTCTGCACCGAGTACATCCTCCTTGCGGTCATGGCTTTCGACCGCTACGTGGCCATCTGCAATCCCCTCCGCTACCCGGTCATCATGACCAACCAGCTCTGCGGGGCGCTGGCGGGGGGATGCTGGCTCTGCGGGCTGCTGACGGCCATGGTTAAGATGGTTTTCATCGCCCGACTCCTCTACTGCGGCACCCCTCGCATCAACCACTACTTCTGTGATATCTCTCCACTCCTCAATGTCTCCTGCCAGGACTCTTCCCAGGCGGAGCTGGTGGACTTCTTCCTGGCCCTCTGTGTGGTGGTGACATCTTACATCACCATTCTCGCCACCATCCTCAAGATCCCTTCTGCCCAGGGCCGCCAAAAGGCCTTCTCCACCTGCGCCTCTCACCTGGCCGTGGTGGCCCTCTTCTATTCCACGACTCTCTTCACCTACGCCCGCCCCAAGCTCATGTACGCCTACAGCTCTAACAAAGTGGTGTCTCTTCTCTACACGGTCCTCGTTCCGCTGTTAAACCCCATCATTTACTGTCTGAGGAACCGGGAAGTAAAGGCGGCCCTCCAAAAGACAGTGCTTTGCGGAGGAAGAGGGGCCAGGGAAGAGGGCATGTGAGCAGTTAAAGAGTGTATCTAATCTCTTCAGGCCTGGCTGGGGAGGTGGGCTACCACGCACTTTCTCCCTCTCCTTGTCTTTCTCTGTTCACCATCCTCCAGCACCTTTAACACTGCTCGTCTGCCTCTGTGTGTGTGTACGTGTGTTTGTGCCCACATGCATGTGTAGGCGCATGCTCACATGCACACATGTAAAAGGACCGCAATTCCTCATAAGTAGCCTCTCCTATACCAGGTCAAGAGACAAATTTTAACCATTTCTGAAATGAAGATGGTGACTGAAAACGACTGGAGGGAAGAAAGGACAGGGATGAGAGGGAGATAATTCATACAACGTAAGACACATTCCAGACAGGATAAACTTGTACAGACTAAAACTGTCTTTTCAGCTGTGTGGTTAGGAAAAGGTGTTGTAAAACTTTGTTTCTCTTGGTATAGCAAGAGAAAAAAAATAAAATTATTTGTTAAGGATTAAAAAATAGATAAAATATGTAATAACAAAAGATTTCTAATCTATATAATGATATAACATTCTTTTTTATTGTGACAATACTGTACAGAGGGGTTACAATTACATGGGCAAGATAATGAGTACATTTCTTATCAAGCATTGTAGCCTCCTCCTTTGTTTCCCCTTCCCATCCCTTCCCATCCTCTCCCCCCACCCCCCCAGGGGGGGATGATATAATATTCTTAGATATTAAAGATACTTCAAGCCAAGTGACAATGGTTCATGCCTGTAATTCTAGCTACTCAGGAGGCTGAGATCTAAGGATCATGATTCAAAGCTAGGCCAGACAGGAAGTCCATGAGTCTCTTATCTCCAATAAACTACTCAGAAAAGGCCAGAAATGGCTCTGTGGCTCAAGTAGTAGAGCGCTAGCCTTGAGAAAGGAACGGGGACAGCACTCAGGCCCTGAGGTCAAGCCCCAGGAACGGAATTAGAAAAAGAAAAGATACCTCATATATACCTCAAACATTGATCACTCAGTGGAAAATAAATTAAGAACAGAGGCAGATTAACACAACTTGTTTATGTAGCTGTTATGTGTTGAATTGTGTTCTATAACAGAAAATGCACAGGAGTTACAATCCCCAATAACAGCTCAGAATGAGGCCTTACTTGGAAGCAGGATTTTGACAATAGAGTTCAAACTAAATGAAGTCATAAGGAACGGCCCAACACAACTGGAATTGAATCATAGAGAAAAGAAATTTGTACACAGGCATAGATTCTATGTCCGGACCCGCAGGACGTCAGCAAGGGCAGTGAACCTAAGCTAGAAGGAATGAAGGGACAAGAGACACGAAGAATGACAGCAAGACAAGGGTTCTGATCAAGCTGCAAATTTTTATTTTTCACACAGGGGTATTTATATGCTTGGAAGCTTTTTCATTGGCCGTTAAGGAAGCTTTTTCATTGGCCGAAGCAGCTGTAGGATGTTTGCTTAGGGCAAGGTGAAAAGGTGGTCGGTCTTTAGCAGCTGCAGGGTGTTTGCTTAGGGCAGGGTGAAAAGGTCAGATTCTGTAAACAGCCTCAAGATGTTCCAGTGAGATAGTCAAGCCTATTATGTTGAGAGACTCAACTTTTGGCTCCCGACATTACTACAGAGGGAAGGTAATGTAATGTGACATGGGAGTGACAGACAAGCTACTGGTTGCTGGTTACTACTACTGGTTATTACACAAACACCAACCAAGGAATGAGAAATATTGAAGGTAAACCCGGAAAGAAGAAGCAAAAAGGAGTTCTCCCCTGAAGTGTGTCTCCTTCCCCACCCTTTGCTTTCTGACTTCTATCTGAAATACTGAAGCAGTAATGTTCTATTGTTTTTAAGCCATCTGTGGTTTGGCGCTTTTTAACAACAACCTTAGGACATTCACACAGTAACTAACAAATATTAAAAGCCAGGTGCTGGTGGCTTGTGCCTATATTCCTAGCTATTCAGGAGGCTAAGATCTGAGGATCATACTTTAAAGCCTGCCTGGACAGAGAAGCCTGTGAGACTCTTATCTCCAATGAACTTCTCAGAAAAAGGCAGAAGTGGTACTGTGGCTCAAGCAGTAGAGTGCTAGCCTTGAGCACAAAAAGGCTCAGGGACAACACCCAGGCCCTGAGCTCAAGCCCCAAGACTGGCAATAATAATAATAACAAATATTAAAAATTAAAAATTGAGCAACATTAAGGTATCCAATTTTCAATTGTCTGGTTCATATAAAAGACATTTTTCTCTGTGTCTAAGTGTAGAGACATAGGAATTTATATTACACTACCTATAGTTATATATTTTCAACTCTAGAAGTTCATTTGTAACTTGTCCTAATGGGCCAATGATTTGTAATTTTTCCTATTTTTTAAAATCTTCAAATGTTAAAGAGAATGAGAATGTTTTCCCGTTTCTCTAAGTGCATGTCATGGAGTAACAGGAATATCTCTAGCTGTGGATACAATTGCCTGGCTTCCTTTGAATTTTTTCAGCTTTCTTTTAGGTCTGTCACTGTAGGACAAATGTAGGTTGATATAATCAGCCTGCAAGTATCAAATCTGGAAAAGAAATTCAGATGCATCCATCTTTTGTATTGTGTATAATCAGAAAAGATCAGATTCTCAATCTCTGTTCCCCAGCAGGAGGAGGGAGAAGAGGAGGCGAGAGGAGGACAAAGAAGGAGAGCCAAGAAGAAGAGGGAGAAAAGGAAATGTGAGAGAGGGACTTAGAGAATACCAGTAGAGGGGCTGGGAAGTGGCTCAGTGGTAGAGTGCTTGCCTTGCATGCCTGAGGCCCTGGGTTCGATTCCTCAGCACCACATAAGCAAAAAGAAAAAAGCCAGAAGTGGCACTGTGGCTCAAGTGGTAGAACACTAGCCTTGAGCTGAAGAGCTGAGGGACAGAGCCCAGGCCAGAGTTCAGGCCCCAAGACCGGACCCCCCCCCCCCAAAAAAAAGAGAGAATACCAGTAGATAAAGAGTGGAACAATTGAGATGCCAGAGTGTTTGTAAACTCAGAGACAGCTGCAATCGACCTTGTGTCTTCTCTGAAGTGTGACATAATATCAGTCCACATTGTTTGGGAGGGTGAGTGGGGAGAAGGCTAGAGGAAGAGAAAGACATTCATTTCCATTCTAAGTAGAAAACAACAGCTTCTGCAGAGAATGCAAGTTTGTGTTGGGTTTTCTTTTTTTCTTTTTCTTCAGAAATATGTAGAACTTTTGTAGATTTGGTGTCCATTTGAGATGATTGGTGATTAACTTACTATGGAAAACATTTTAAGTGACAAGGCATGTGAAAGACAAACTCTGGGAAATATCATCCGCTATCATTTTTCTGTTCCCTCCCTCCCTCCTCTCTATCTGTGTGTGTTTATACCTGTTGGGCACACATTCTTCCACTTGAGCCACACCCTTAGTCCTTTTTGGCTTTACTTATTTTACACACATTTTGCCTGGAACTGCATTCTTTCTACCATCATCTCCCATATAGCTGGGATTAAAGGTGTGAGCAACTTTACCCCCATCATTTTTATTGCATAAGCTAACTTCACAGCAGTAAACCTCTCAACTTCTGCCTCCCAAGTATCTGGGTTATGGGCGTGACACACCACACCTAGCTTTTTTGTTCTCTTAATTTTACTTTCAGTGGGTTTTCATTAAAATTAATGGAAAAAAGGAAATCTTGAACAGTGAAACATATTAACATTGGCGCTCAAGTGGTATAGTTGCTAGCGGTCAGCCAAAAACCTCAGAGACAGCACCTGGGCTAAATTCAAGCCTCAGGACCAGTACAAAAGATGAAAGAGAGTGGGGGAGGGAGAATTGCCAGATACAGATGGCTCACACCTGTAGTCCTAGACACTCAGGAGGCTGAGGTCCGAGGACTGGCAGCTCAGGCATGAAAGTCTGTGAGACACTTATTCCAATTAGCCACCAAAAAGCCAGAAGTAGAACTATGGCTCAAATAGTTAAGCACTAGCCTTCAGTGAAAAAGCTAAAAAGGAAAACATCCAGGCCCCAATCCTCGCACAGAGAGAGAGAGAGAAAGAGAGAGAGAGAGAGAGAGACCAACACATTTAGTTACAAACATTATTGTTACAAACTATCACTGCTGCAAGTTGACTACAAAGATATAAGACATGAGATGATCCTTGAGAGAATGACACCATGAATGACACCATGTTTGCCTCTGTGACACTAGAAAGGAACTTTTCTACCCATCTCAAGAGATTTATTTATTCCCCTTCACAAGAACATTTCCTACTGCCCATGGGTTTCTGCATTAACTGCTCTAGTTATTAGTTCATTTTCTTACATACTCTTATGGTCCAGAGATTCTTGGGGCATCATGATTAATCTACTCTACTTTATCCACCAAGCTTATATTCTTTTCAAGAACATGCTTTTTTGAAAGGGGCTACTGCTTCTTTAAACAAATGGCCATTGATGGAGAATAAACATTCTATAATTTTCAGACATGAAAGCAAGAGGCAGAAGGCAAGCATGAGGGTTTTCAAAGTGGAGTTTCTGGAGACATGAGTGATAAGTGGTTTTACTTTTTGAAGTATCTCAAAGAGGTAAACCATATTACCACATGTTCAAGCCCAGCCCCTCGTCACCAAGAATATATCACTGTAGTTCCCTTTACCATTGGACATAAGTATGAGAATCCGTGCAGTCACTGGTATCTCTGTTTTCTTCCAACTACTGCTAGCTATTAAAGCCTAGAAGAAGAAATACAATGAAGCAGTAAGAAAGGCTGTAATCATGTATGTGGGGCATTTAAAAGAAGAGAGTAGGATGCTGATTTTTAGCAAAAAGTCAAAATCAAAGCAACCAATTTAATAATGAATGGGTTGTAGATACATAGCGACAAACCTCTAAGCAGCCTAGAGGGCAGAGAAGAGCACATGTCTGGTAGAGCTGATAGGAAAGTGGTGATACTTACTTCACTTAATATAATTTTTTCCAAGTTTTTCCATTTCCTAACAAATGGGGCAATGTCATTTTTTCT